AGGCAGAGAGAGACTCCCATGACTTGCACCTGTCTTCTCCCACCCCATCTCTCACTTCTCTGTGGTAGGAACACCATCTCTTGGAGGTGGGAAACCACTAATCCGCAGAGGCCCTTTTGATTCTCAGTGAGTTTTCGAGTACCTTCACAGCAGATTAACTCCACTCCTACTTCCTCAAGGACAACTCCCTTCCTGTAGTCATTTTAATGCCATCATTTACTATTTTTACAGAGCTCCTCTTCACGCCTCACTTCTAGCTCTATTTTTGCTCCTGTCTGCCTTCCATGAGAAATCTGCAATGAGACTATTTAAATTTGATGCAGCTTTGAAATGCTCTTTTTAACGTACACTCCTCTCTTGCCAGAGCAGGAGCTCAACTAGAAAGAGAATCTTTTATTAGTGCAGTGAGTCTAGCACATTATGCGAGTCGCACAGCCCCTGATTATATTATAAATGTAAGAACTGAATATCCCTCTTGCTTAAATTATCAGCTGTTTGGTTTTCATAAACTCCTCAACCCATCAGGAAAATATTTGCCTTTTGTTTGCCTTCAGAATCAAGGTTGCTAGTGATAATTATAATTATGAATTTAGCAGAGTGCCATGGAGAGGAGGTTGGGATAATCCTGCCCTGCTCAGCATCTGCTGACCAGCCTGGCATGAGAAAGAGAGAGGGGGTGTAGGAGAATGGGGGCCTCATTGGGGGTCAGTGGAAAACTGTTGCTTTCAGCAGGTGAACACATCGTCCCTGATTGATGAGCAAGTCCCAGAAAGGCTTCTGCTGGGGAGATAAAGGAAGGTCTATGTGTCAACATTTGTGCTGGCAGTGGCCGCTGACCAAAAGGCCTTGAGCCTGAGTCTTCATTGAACCCTGCATAAGAGCAGGTGCTCAGCAGAGGTGGAGCTGGGAAGAGGACAGAGGTAGCCCCAGGCATGTCCCCCTGTAATCCCATTGCCAACAGGCTGAATTTGCACTTTTCCACAGCAAGGCAAAATGTGTCTGAAACAGCCCTCTTGTATGATGAAATTCTGTGCCTACTTTGATTCCATGGGATTTCAAATAGAGAAGAGCAATCACCAGACAAGCCACTGGTACATACCTATCTCACAGTTTTTGCCTTCATACCCAGCTGGGCACCAGCATACGTAGGAATTTATTCCATCCTTGCAAACGGCTCCGTTTTTGCATGGGTTGGAGTTGCACTGGTCTCCATCTTGGTGAGAAGACAGGAGAGTTAGCAAACATATGTATCCAGCACAGCTGGTGCCAACCATGCACTGGAGCCTTGCTCTGTGCAAGCCTCCTGTTAAACATGAGCAAGAGACTACACACCTTCCTTCTTCGCAATTTAAGTCAGATCCTGGCACCCAAGTGTGCAACAGACAGCACCGGTGCTGGGGTGACATCAGCAACAGTGCTTTACCCAGAGTCTTCATTGTGTACCCTGCCCCATGTGGGTTAATTCTGCTCACTTCAGCAGAACTCCTCTTCAGTCACCCTCGTGCAACATGTCTACAGGAGCTCATGTCTTGGCTGAATTAGACAGAGTTGGAAGTTTGCTACCTAAAGAATGGTTAGAATATCCTAATCTGGATTGTTTTATACTGCCATCTGGTCTGTGAAGGTTTGGGTCTGTCCATTTGGGTTTGAAGGCCTCTCTCTGTATCAGGATTGAGAACCTTGGTCATTGCTCTTTCTTTCTCAGTCTTGTACTATTATTAACTGGTCTAGATTTTCATTTACAAGTCACGGCTTTTATTTTCATAGTTACCTAGACCTGAGAAGCTGAGGCTTTAATGAAAATATTCACTTTGTAAAAATTGGTGATCTAACACTTTGGAGGAGTAAATCAGTGATGTTAAGTGCCAGAGAACACACTTCAAAATGGTTATGCTAAGGCATGGAGGAAGGGGAAGTTCTTCATGTGTCTGTGTTTTGCCAGGAAGTGTAGCAGTTACTGGTGCATTCAAGAACGGGCTGGAATGCAAAAAAGCAAACAAGAGCAAAATTATTTTTGCTTGTCTAAGTCATGTTGTCAGCGTTTGCACATAAGGTGAGGATCATGGCTGTTGTTGCTGCCTGGTGAGGGCAACTGGGGGCTTGAGGGCAAGTGAGGCTTGAGCGCTGTGCAGAGGGTAAGCTCCTGTGGGCTGCATGTGTTGGGAATAGCACCTTGTAAACTGAACAGTTCAACCAAGCACTTTGGATGATAAAGGAATATATGTCATTCCTTATTTTTGAAGAGCTAATTGGTTACAGTGGCAGGGAAACGAATGCAGTGTTGAGTTTCATCAGTTGGGTTTTTCAGAAGACAGTCCTACAATGGAAATGTAACTTTTAAAAAAATTTTATTGTCTGGACTGGATAATCTGAATTATTTAAGTCTTTTTAGTGAGATGTTCTGGGCGCTTCGCCAATCTACAAAGCCGTTCATTTATTGAAATGTCCTTAAAATTAGTTTCAGATGTTTTAGTGGGCATTGAAATCTTTTTGTTAAGGGACTGAGGAGCCATTGGGGATGGAGGCTGGAAAGGAAAAAATTAGATGTGGAAAGAAAATGGTGAAGTAAGGGGTTCGGAGCAATGGTGTGAATTGCAAACAGCTGTTTGCTATGGTCATGTTGAGACTCCACTTTAATATGGCATTTCTAGGGATTCACACTGTGCTTTCATGAGGCTGTGCCTTATCTGCAGATCTCTGCTTGACAACAGAGCATTTGTTGTTTGCTGAAGGGGTGTTGATTATTGCTGTCTTGTTTTACTCCATAACACAGCTGAAACTAGAAGTCCAGAGCGTGACCTAGGCTCAACAGAGTCAGTAGTCTATGTCAACTGGTTTTGTTACATGAGGTTAAAAAAACCTGCTTGAACAAAGGAAATGCTAAGACAGCTTTCTTGGGGGTTTGGGGTTTTTTTGGCTTGGAATTTGTATACGAACAGGACAGGTCCAGCCTGGGCAGCTGCAGGATTTAGGGTGCATGGCTCTGACTAGCTCTGTCACAACACAGTTTCTGAATGCTGGAATACAATAACATCTGCTACTTATGCACTGAGAGATGAATATTAAGCATTTGAACACGAAGAAAGCAGCTCTTACCAACGTATGTTTTCCAAAACTCCATCTGCAAAGGGGAAAAAAAAAAAAAAGAAAAGAAGATTTCTTTGGTTTCTAATTTCTGGGCACTGTCTGACTAAAGTAGTACAGGGATGACTCCAAAGCTAAAGGAAAAGACTTGCATGTAACCACCACCTCCATCATCCCAATGGTGACTGACGTAGCTTTAAAGCAGTTCCCCAGCCTAACTGATGGATCACAAATAAGAATCAACCATGCCAGAATGTGCCCTTGTTCCTGCAGGTTTTCTCCTTGCTGTTCACTCCTCTTCGTCCTCTGTGCCTCACCTGAAGGGCTCGTGGAGTAGTGGGCTGGGGGTAACAAGGTGTTGCAGCAGTGATACTCACCGTTTTCTCTGCATTTTCAAACACTTCTCGGGCTTCTTCATAGCTGCATTTTTCTTCTATGCATTCTCTCTCGAGGTTCCCAGGAATAACCTCTTCCAGTCTGTTTGAGTTGGCTCGCTTTTGCCTCTGCAGAACTGAGCTTGCCTCTTTGTTCTCGATGAAGACTGCAATTTTAACAGAAATAGGGTCTGGAAAGGAGCATGTGCCTTGGTGTGGTGCAGCTGGGATGTGCTGTCAGGGCTCTGTCCTCCCAGAAACCAAACCCTTTTCAGGCAGTCACCCCTCCTGCTGCCCCACAGCTGGGGATGTTTCCAGAGTGTTGTCATATACCTGAGGTTTTTTTGGTGCCTACCTTAATCACAGTCCAGAGGATTAAATCTGAAGAACCAAGCATTGAAATAGTCAATAGACAGAAATGACTGATGGCAAGAGGGTGATTTGGAGCACTGAAGTTTGATGCTTAAAATACCCTAAAGCAGATGGTGTGAGTATCTCCTATCATAGATGCACAGACTGGAATAAGCTGTTAGAAAGGGGAAAATAATAGGCTTTTTCATGCTGCTGCTTGATGAGGTCTTGTTTGGACACAGAAATTGCCCTACTTTAACTGTCTCACTCTGTTTTGGCTGAGAAAGGCCATTTGCTTCTGCAAGCAGCTGCAGCCCTTGGAAGCCACAGGCCATTTGCTTCTCTCCCTGCTCTGCTCCCATGCACCTGGGTACCACTTTTTTTTGATGACAGGAGGGGTGACATGAGCCTTCCTCACCCCTTGGGCCACTTCATGTCAACAAGGGTGTGTGCATCCACCTTCAACAGGCTGGCCAAACTCCTGGGCAGAACCACCAGCCGAGAGCTGCTGGTGCTGCAGGGGCCCCCAGTCCAGATGGGATGTCCACTGTGGCCACCAGCCTTCCTGTAGTAGCTGCCTGGTGAAGAGCACGAGAACATGCAGTCCCATCATGGTGTTATCATGGATGTTCTCCTGGTAGGGCCACGTGTCCCATCAGCAGGGACAATAACAGCAGCTGTCCTGAGATTGCCACCTGGCAGGGTTTGCTCCTGATCCACCTCTCAGAGACCTCTACCTCTGATGAGCACCGTTCTATCCCTATCCTACCACTTTAAAACACATTATTCACCCAGAAGGACTCCCTGCTTTGCCCTCCCAGCCTCTCCCCTCCCTCCCTTAGCACTCGCAGCACGTCCCTTTTTGTCACCAGATGGCACGGTAGAGCAGCTCTTCTTGGAGCTGCTGGTGGCCACCCGGACAGGACCCTCAATTGGGGGCTCTGTGCTGGAAGGGAGTCGAGCACTTTTTGGACTGACCCCGCTGCGGGTTAAGGAGAGATCATCTCGGCCAGGAGGGCAGAGAGAAGAGTGAGGGGCCAGTACCAGCTGCTTATTCCTTCTCATGGTTAACTCCTGCTCCCTACTCAGAGCAGACCCAACCTCACCCAGCCTGCACAGGATCAGCTGCGCTCTCAAGAGCCCCTGGTGGGTTGCTCTGATGCACACCACGCCGCTGATGGTGTAACCAGCTCCTTCAGTGACACATCTCTCTGCAAGAGACAGAACTAACAGCTTTTGCAATGACTGTAATCCTTGCGCAGCAAGTTTTCACCTCTGCCTTCCTCATGCTAGTGTGGTGTTGGTTAAAACAAAAGAAGTGTGTTAAAATCCTGACTGTAATCTGTTTGGCCATAGAAATTGATGGGTAAAGCACTGACCTCTGATGAAGCCAGGCTGGTTTTGAGCTCTGCAGCCCCCGTGGAGCGGCTGATCCCCTATCAGCTGCAGGGTGGAGGTTTACATGTGGGACATGAACATACACCACCCCCAGCTTAACCTCCCTGGCTGAGTGGCACAGGGTGACACAGCCTAGCTGGGGGAGAACTGCTCCCTTCTCTCCACAGCATGGGCTACAGCCTCCAGCTTCTCCCCAAGCTGGGCAGGAAGGGCTCAGGTGGGAATGATGGAATGGCCTTCCTCAGTTTTGAAACCCTGTTGGCTCTCCAGGTGCTTAGTGCCCAGGGAACATGGTGAGGGTGCAGACACATTTCCCTGTGCAGAGTGAGGTAGCTGTGTCAGACACACTCCTTCATCTCTTCCTGGTGAGATGTGCCACACACCTGCCATAATTAACCATTTAATGGAGAGAACTCATTTTAATGAATGCAGCTTTGCCTCCTTCAGATCCCTCTAGGCTTTTTCCATTGCTTACTGATCCCACATGCTGTTTTACAAGCAAAACTTGATTTGGACTGCAGGTTGCAGGCCCCATGGGGTGACAGGAATGGTACTCACCTGGCTCTAAATCGTCCTCACACCAAGAATACACTCATGCATCACTTAACAGCTTCTGAGAGAGTGAGAAGGGTCTCTGGGCCAGGTGCTGGGGCACAGACCTGTCCTGCCAGATGACTATTGTACTTTATATGGGGTACACCTGTGTGGGTCATGGTACCAATATGAGGTTCTGCTCACTTTCCATTGACAGGTAAAAGTTTTGGAAAGAGCCTTTTTTTCAATCTGTTACCAGCAACGTTTTAATGAAAGGAGAAATAACAGCCTTGCAGCAAAGAGCTCACACTGGATGTGAACCAGACTGTGCTGGAACTGTTGCTGCTACAGATAAATCAAGCAACAGCCTGCATTACTATGTGTGATTGCCCACATCCATCAACTGCTCTATCTTGCCTACAGTTTTGGCTGTATCTTACAGTCTTTGTTAAATTCACACTGGGTTTGGCTTTAAACAATTCTCGCCGTGGCAAATCCAATGACTGTTTTATGGATGTGAGCACTTGTTTGTACTCCAGGACAAAGTGATGGCACACGAAGAGGTGTAGATGTTACTCCACCAGCAATGCCCTCCCCCTTTTTCCTTCCGTGTGTGGGTTCATGTGTTCTAAAATGGCTGAATCAAGCTCTGAAAGCTTAAAAGATTCAAAAATTCTAAGAAAAATCCCATTCTTAAAATTAATCCCTGTGACACATTCTGTGTAAAATCAGCATAAAAACTATCGTTTCATTCCCAAGAAAAGAGCCAGAGCTTTAAAGAGAGGAGCTATGAAATGCAGCAATCCCTCTGAGCTGTCGTCTCTTATAAGACTGCACAAGCTCTCCCACTGTCAAGTGACAAACTGTCCCTTTCCTGGTGCCTGTAACCCTCTGTACGCAAAAGGGAAGGATTTACTAGGTTTTAAATGAACTCACCTGTACTTTCATCACCAAGACAAGCTCCCAGAAGACAAATGGAGAGTACAAGGGGGATATGTGCCATCTTCTTCCCACTGCCCAAACCTCTCACTGACAACTTGTTCTGGTGGTGGAGCTCAGTCAATAGTTCCAAAGTGCAAGTGCTTGTTTATTGACTCTGGGTAACCCTTTCATTTAAAGTCCCCAGATGTGCCATTGCTGAAGTTTGACATGACAGCATGGATGTTATTGGTGGAGGCATGTCCACATGCAAGAAATCTGCCAGGTTGTTGCAGTCCTTGGGGGGTCACCTTCTATTACTGCCCTGTTTGGGGTTGAGCACGGCACAAGAATAAATTAATTCAACTTAATTAACCTCTTTAACGCACTGAATTTCCCATTCTAATCTGAGTAATGTTGTTGGCCATATAAATGTCCACAGCAGCATGTTCAAAGTCTTCAGAGTGGTCCATGTTTGTTGGTGCCCTCAACATAAGAAGGACACGGAACTCTTGGAGCAAGTCCAGAGGAGGCCACAAAGTTGATAAGAGGATTGGAGCATCTCCCCTATGAAGACAGGCTGAGGAAGTTGGGGCTGTTCAGCCTGGAGAAGACAAGGTTGTGTGGAGACCTCATAGCAACATTTCAGTACCTGAAGGGCCTACAAGGAGCCAGAGAGGGACTCTGTTAGGAACTGTAGTGATAGGACAAAGGGTAACCAATTAAAACTGAAGGAGGGGAAGTTTAGGTTACATGTTACAAGTTTTTTACTGTAAGGGTGGTGAGGCACTGGCACAGGTTGCCCAGGGATGTGGTGGCTGCCCCAGCCCTGGCAGTGTTCAAAGCCAGGTTGGATGAAGCCTTGAGCATCCTGGTCTAGTGGGGAGGTGTCCCTGCCCAGGGCAGGGGGGGTTGTGACTGGATGATCTGTAAGATCCATTCCAACTCCTAAAATTTTATGATCCTATGTTTCATTTAAAACAGTTGGTGCAATTCCCTTGAGCCCTACAGATGATGTTCTCTCTCAGGGACCAGAGGTCCTTGGAGCTAGGCTATGTCAGTCAGGATTGTTTTACATAAAGGGTTATCTGATTAAAAACCTGGATGAAGTTGTGATGATTGGTCTATTATCCAGGTTTGTTGGGGCAAACCCTGGACACATATGGAGTTTCCTAGGTCCTGTACTTGAGGCCACAGGAAGTGACCTGCTGCTTGGTGTCTTGGGTAGTGGCCAGTGTAGGGATGTGCTGAGAAGTGACAGCTCTGGAGCAGGGAGAGCCTGCAGGCTCTTGGCTGTAGGGAAGCCTCTGCCCAGGGCCGGTTCACAGCCTGCTCCTGATCCACGCTGGCCAAAGAGTGGACTGAAAGGAAGAAGAGATGAGGGAAATGTAATAGGGAGATGTAGATTTTAATACAGAAAAGAATGGGGGAGCTTTTGGTATAAAAACATTCATGTTTAATGGTGGGTTGCTTACAACTTTTAAAACCTTCCTCTGACTTTCCATTGATATGAAGAGCTATGCCAAGGTTTTTGGGAAAATACTGAATATTGTAAAAAAATAAATGAAACATTAACTTGTGGAGAAGTAAAAAATCTCTCCCTGACCTCCTTCCTTGGGGATTT